TTGATGTCCAACATTCGTATAATAAAGATAACACTTGTAAATCCTAGAGCAGTTGTTCTGAAAGTTGAAATTTCACACGGAGTGAAATCCATTTAGGAATCCATAAAATTTGGGTGAAGTAGCCAAGTAGCCAAATAAATCGATCCGGGATATATGAGCGTGAACTGCTTATGCAATGCATTTGTTGAGCACTTTATTATGTAACTGACACTGGGTTTGAAATATGAATACTTCCCCTCAAGGACATCAGAAAGAGATCCACAAAAACAAAAAAAGCCAGATTCACGCTCAGAGAGTTCATTTGAGTCATAGTGATCCTATAGGGATGGTAGAGCTATCCCTGTGGGTGTCGTAGTCTAAATCTTTTCCTGAGTGTGAAAGCCTTACCTTTCTCCTGTAGGGCACTTTGTGGATTCAAACTGCTCACCATGTTGTTATCAACCCAATGCTAACCCACCATACACCAGGGCTCCTCTAGAAAGACATATTCAGATGAAAATGTGTAGTTTTCTGTGTTACCTGTTCATATAATGAAATTTAGGGCAGGGGTGTTTTCTGGGAGAGTATGTGCTGGCAGGGTGAGTGGGGCCGGGAAGAATAGTCATTGGGAGGTGATACTTGCATTGAAGGATGAGTAGGAAGTTACACAAAGAAGGAAATGCGTTTCAGACTGAGAGAGCAACAAACAAAGGTAGGATGAAAACTGTCAGAAATTTGTCTCAAACAAGATGTGTGGCGGTGAAATGGCCAGGAAATGAGGCTGTGGGAATGGGGAGCCATCAGAACTTTTGAAGTTAGGTGCTGACAAAAGGGTTGCTGTGAATTGCAATGGACTTGATGGCAGTGAGTTTGGGGTTAGTGACAGAAGGGCAGGTTAGAGTGATAAGAAATGTGGCAGGGACACTACTTAGCGTTCTGGAAGTTGAAAGTGCGGCGGCGGGAATGAAGAGGAGGGGAATGGATTTTAGACATTTCTGAGCCAGTTGTTGGGGCGACATAGTGACTATTTTGGGGGAGTTTGTTTTGAGAGACTGGTGGATGGGGATTTCACTGACTAGAATATGACTTAGGAAAAGTAGACCAGACTTCGGAAGGGTTGGGGTGGTCAGGAAAAAGCTATGGAGAGTCTGGTGTGCTGCAGTCAGGTGTACACATAGAGATGCTGAAGCAGCCAGAAGGCCTGGTGAGCGTGCTATTTTGGCAACAGCTCTGCGTGAGGGCAAGTATAAAAAAAAACTTTGGAAAAACATTTATTTAAAGAAATACCAGAGTAGGCACTTTGTCTACTTCACGTGAACTCCTCAGGCAGGGACTGGAACTTAGTAATTTTGGGAGTCCTTTTTATCCTACACTAAACCTGTCTTCTTATAAGGTCTTGATAAGTGGAATGTAGCAAACTAGCAAGAACTTAGTTGACTGCAAGTTTTCAGTTACTTTTTGTCTTCCTTTAGAACATTCATGAGACTGCCTGACAATTTTCATTTCATACTGAGGCGGTGTTCAGGAAGCTTGGATCATTCCAGAAGAAAGGGTTGAGGGCACCTGAGCAGCAGTGCAGGGCCCGAGCAGGAGACATACAGGAGGAATTTACAAGAGGCTCCTGTTCATTGAGAAGAGGATTTTACAAGGAAATTTCATTTGGGGAGATGTCAGAAAAGTGTGTTTTTTCAATCAGAGTTTCCTGAAGTAATCTTGTCAGTTCCGGAGTTGGTTCCTCCTTCTGGAGGTGCAAGTACCTTATTTCTGATGTAAGGAATCTGAGGGAATTCTGTTTGTTTAAATCTTTTCATCTGTATTGCTAGCTGGTGAAAGTAGGCAGAACTAGTTAGATGCCGTTGGGACTGATTGAATGATCTTCACTGAAGCTGGTTCACATCTGTATACTGATTTATGGATGACACCGAGAGTAGAACACAAACAAACAGATCCTAAAGAGGGTTTCAAGGCTGTCAATCATGACAGGAACAGAAGACATGGAAAGATTAGACCGGATATGTGAAGCACATAGTGCGGCGGGGAGGGCTGGCCGGGAGGCGACCTAGCGGAGTGGAGAGCCACTCGCTGCCCCTGCGGTCGTCCCTCGGCACGCTAGTGCCAAGTCCAGTCCCTTCCGCACCTGCTCCTCCAGTGCCCTCTTCACGACCGCTACCGGGGCCGTGACTTTTGACCTCAACACGGGGCTCCTGACTCCCATCTTTCCTGCTGCCTCTTCTCCCAGCTTGTTCTCGCCCCTAGGTGCCCCCCCGCCCCCCGCCCGCCCCCCAAAGCTAGACCTATGAGAAGCGGAAGAAGGCCAGCCCCTCCGAGGTCTTCAGAAGGCCTCCACCTCACTCCTGTTGACGCTCCCTCACCGACGACCCCCCACACCGAAGCAATCCAGCCAGCCCGATTTCTCGGGTTACTCTCGGGAGCTAGGGAAAGAGCCCTCTTCCTGGGCAGGAAGCAAGAGGAGGCACCTGGCTCTCTGGGAAGGCGAGCCGGACGGAGCTGAGGAGTGTTGCTCCTGAGAACAGGCAAACAGAAACCTGGGTCAGGCCCCAAGTAGTTAGACCCTCTTCAGTTCTTCCCTGAAAACTTTGATTGTCGTGAGATCGGATTCTTTGCCGTTCTGTGCCTCCAGTGAATCTGTAGACTTTAACTTTGTAGGTCTGGTTGGTGCCCATCGTTGAGCAGCACGAGCTCACTGGGATTCTTCTGGGCGTGC